CTAAATATATGCACCATATAACATATTCATTATAAATTTTACTGTTCTTCAATGTTTAATTTATGTTTGAATAAATCCATAAATTTTTTATGACAGCCACCATTTAAATTTTTATATTTAAAAAAACGAATTGAAGTAGAAATATTATTATGTAATTGTAACTTTATTATTTTAAAAACTTCACTGTGTCATTTTAACAGTTATACGCTATAGCTTACAAATCAGTCAATTTTAACCTTCAATATTATAGTAATGTAGTACCAAATGAATTACAGCATTCGTTGAGAGATTTTTTTTTCTTGAGAAAATTTGCCAAGTACTGTACCTGATATATATAAAAAATAATCGATATTGAATCGAATCGAGTCGAATTGGTAATCGAATCGAAAGCTTGTGAATGAGAATCGAATCGAGTCATGAAATTTGTGTCAAAACCCAGCCCTACTCCTTTATGTTCATTAATACTAATTGCCACATTGCTCATTACAAGTTCTTAAATTAATCTTTATTGATACTTTTAAATGTATTATTTGCTACATTTATGCTTATGTTATGTTTTACATATTTCATTTATTTTAATAATTAGGCATGTGCTCAGCTACTGTTTTTCTTACTGTTAATATTATTTATTATTATTACTATTATTGCAATCATATTGAATATCATATTAAAAAACAGTAGCTGATCACATGCCTAATAAATAAAATTGTTAAATTAATTCAGTATTACTACACATTAATAATAATACAAAATAATAATAATTTTATTATTATTTAAATTATAAAATTGAATCAATAAAGAAATGAATTACTATTGAAATAATACAATTGTACTGTAAAATAAAATAGTAGTAGAATTCATTATTAACATTAATAACAATAATTGTATTATTTAAATTATACAAATTAAATCAATAAAGATAAAAATTACTATTGCAATAATACAATTATACTGTCAAATAAAGTATTATTTTTATTAATAATAATAATAATAATAATTTGATTTTACAGTAAAATTACGCAGCAATTTATTATATTGGATTTATGCAACTCTTGTGGATCATACAGAAAATTCACAACCCAGTATAATTTAATTGAAAATGTTTTCAAATTAAATTTTTTATTCCATTTGCACTGTTGTTTGCTCCATTTCTTATTGTATGAGGCTTTGCTGCAAATGCTTAGCAATATCAATGCAGTTTTTTGTCATGCAAATAAAACACGCTAAAACAAAATTGCACCTGAATGGATCTCCTACAGGGCTCATGCACAGCACAATGTGCAGGTTGTTTCTGACGCGCTCTTTCAGGTAGTTAAACATGGCGTCTGATGTCTCCAGGATATTGTCCTTCCTGGCTGAGTCTGACAGAGCATTGTGAATCTACACAAACAAAACATGTTAAAAATCTGCTCTCATTGTCACTTAGAAGACTAACCCTAACAGTCACACGCATTAAAAATGTATACAAACACACACACACACCTCATCGAGCTCGTCTGCTTTATAGAGATTGGGCACCTCCCCTGAGCTCAGAATGTTGTTAATGTCTTCAAGAAAGGACTCGTCCACGATCTGTGTGTCATTAAACAGGAACACAGTGGGCTTGTTTTCCACTCCTGTCAGCCGATAGAGCTTTTTAATATCTGTATGGGGAGAAGAAATATGTCAAATATTCCATTGAGGTCACATTAAACTGTGTTGTGAAGGCTACAATGTGCATAACATAATAGATCCTTTGGTCCTGAGCGCTAGGGCAAGAGGCGTTATTCCTCAGCATTTGGAAACATTTACTACAACAGGCCACAGGACAAAATATCAAAGCCTTTGGTATATATCAAAAGAGCTTTATATTTGAGATCTGAAATTGAAAATATAACTCAGCCAACTGCCTTACATTACTTGGTCTTGAAATACAATTTAACATGCCTGAATGTTAATATAACCCTTTAAACTACTGGGAAAATGGCTTTAGATGCTGGTTTACTGGCGTCCCAACCAGGCTACTTAATTAACTTTGCCTTGGTCAAGTAGCTGGACTGAGAGAAGACATGAACTATATGAAGTAGCTCATGAGATGTTTTGAGAGGCTTCTTATCTGTTGTTGGTGCTTGCAATGCCAATGTCACGGTTCGACTCCCAGGAATGACAGTGACACATGATGATAATATGTACACCTTCAATGTACTGTGAGTCGCTTTGGATAAAATCAACTGCCACATGAGTAAATGTAAGTTATAAATTGTGTGCAGAACTCACCCTCTCTGAACTCTTGTTTGCGGTACTGTTTGGTGACCTCCACCTGGAAGACCATAAACTTACAGATGTAGGCGGCAAGTCTGGTTAAACTCTGTCTGCCTGAGCCACCGATACCGACCAGCAACATGTTCCCCCGGAGCTGACTGATCACACGTACCAAACGTGTTACTGAGGGGGCAGAAAGAGGGCGCTGTTTCCATCATAAGAATCATAAAAGTTCATTTACTTGCATGAATCATGTGTGTCATTTGGTCAATGCAACATTTACAAACACAAAGGATAACACATTAAAATGTCAATGCATACAAATACACAGGCACACATCATTGCTGCAGGAGGCCAAACAAACAACCGATCACAAAGGAAACTAATTGGCACAAAACCATAATTAGTTATGAACACATAGGCATATAAACATACACGTTATGCTTGCTAATTTCGTAATCAATCAGCTATGCGCAGCGGCATGTCATTGAACTGAGTGTTTGTGACGTGCGAGACGCATTCACCGAGCTGAATGTGAGACCACTTTAAAGTCACAGTGCGGCGTGTGCGTGACAGGATGCATATAAAGCATTCTTATATGCGCCTTTGACAGTAAATGCCTGCATGCAAGTGAGTGACATATAGGCTGGGGAACCGGCCGCCTAATTATTCTCCCTGCTGAGGGGTTTGTAATGTGATTGCGTTCTTCTTTGTGGGAATGAAAAGGGTAATTATTCATGCTTGTGGGGGATCTGAGGGCTGAAGTGCATGTGATTTTGAAGAAAGTTATATTTGTGCGAGCACTGTATGAGAACTGAGGAGATTGGTCACTGAATTATGGGATTCGAGAGTGCGCACTGAATCATGGGTATTGCCATATGGATGTAAGCAAATGATGAGAGCTGTAATATAACTGTACCATGAATACCGATGGCTCCAAAAGAACAGAACTAGTGGAATTTGTTTTTTATATGATATAATAATTCAATGGCACCTTGATATAGTCACCCAGAAGCAACTTCGCACAATGGTGATTGTTCATGGAGTTCCCATTGTGGGCTCACACTTGCAACCTTTTGGCCTAGATCTTTAACCACTATGCTAAACTACTCCATTCTCTCTGACTGTGCTCTTACCATGTTCTATAGCATCTCTAAAGAGCACCAGACTCATAGGCACCACACCAGGCGTGAGGTTATAATCCTCTAGCTCGTTCTCCATATGAACCTTAAGAGCTTTAAAGTCCAACAGGTCCTCATACACATGTGGCTCCCTCAGGAAGTCACCTACAATAAAAACACACATACAAACTGTAATTAGGGCTAGGAGTGGCCAGTGACACAAATTAGCAGTGTGTGTGTATGTGTGTGTACCAAACAGAGGAGGCTGTTTGTTGGGGCAAATTGTGTGGTAGGGGACATCGAAATAAGAAGCCAGTTTTTCTGACAGAAGTCCCACAAAAGTCTCCATGTCTGCATGATCCACCAGTCGATCAGAGAAGACCCTGAAACATACACAAAACTTTACTGGTTTCTTCCTCTAACACAAGTATCTGTATGTGCAGATCTGTGCCTGTTTGTACCTGAAGCACTCATGAATCCAGAGGCGGGTGATGCTCTGTTTGGTGTCATGGAAGTCTTTGTGTGCTCGCAATAAACCCTGGAACACCTGCATTGGAGGACATATTTCACATGGACAAAGCTTTCAGTCAAATTTCTTGTTAGGTATAAAAAATAGTGTATTTCTTTTGAGCTTGATCAGACAAAAAAAAAAATCTAAGTGTCCGTGTTCTGAAAAGGTGTTATTTTGTACGACCACATACGTGTCTCTGATTAAAAGTAAATCTGAATCTTAGGCATGCGGTCTTGAAGTGGCAAAGTGGGCTGATGTGTTTTGTTTCATCTTTCTGGAATCAATCGGTCTGAATTGAAGTGATATTACGCTCAGACTAGGTGTACCTAAACCACATTTTGCTCCTTTTCCAGATGAGAGACAAACACACATGACACATGATGTTAAGTACCTTGGAGATGTCTCTGAGGTTGAAGAGATAATGTATTTTTGCGGGCGTGGGTAAGAAGCGGGCGGTAATGGCGTGGTAGAGCTCCTGATCAGACAAAAAAAAAATCTAAGTGTCCTTGCAGTCTCAGGTGCTTTCAAAGTGTGTTCTGAAAAGGTGTTATTTTGTACGACCACGTACGTGTCTCTGATTAAAAGTAAATCTGAATCTTAGGCATGCGGTCTTGAAGTGGCAAAGTGGGCTGATGTGTTTTGTTTCATCTTTCTGGAATCAATCGGTCTGAATTGAAGTGATATTACGCTCAGACTAGGTGTACCTAAACCACATTTTGCTCCTTTTCCAGATGAGAGACAAACACACATGACACATGATGTTAAGTACCTTGGAGATGTCTCTGAGGTTGAAGAGATAATGTATTTTTGCGGGCGTGGGTAAGAAGCGGGCGGTAATGGCGTGGTAGAGCTCCAGGGTGGCCTGAGTCAGAACCCCCCCGATGGGCTTCACCTCCTCCTCAAACTCCTGCAGCTTCTGACTGATCATGGTGCCATAGATACGCTTTATCTGAGACTCCTGGAGAGAATAGAAGAGGAGAGGGAATTACAGGGGCGGATATAACAGGAGATAAATAGAGCAGATAAGACAAACAAGGAAAAGTGATTGGTGAATTTGATGCACAGAAACATATTAATCCACCATCTGAGAAAAGAGAGTGCTTCACTTATGAGGTTTAGACATTATTGCATATATCACTGCAGCAGGTTCAAATGGGTGGTGGGCAAGATTTTCAGTGAATGACTCAAATTTTAGTCTGTTCTTTGCACACAGCTATCATATGACTTCATAAGACTTGGAATATAGCACAAGATATTTGGACCCCTTTTATGGTGCTTTTATGATGCAGTGCTTTTATGTGCTTTTTGGAGCTTGAGAGTCACAATCATCCATCCTCTCATCCCTCATGCATCTCATCCCTTTTGTTTTCTACAGAAGAAAGAAAGAACTACATACGGGTTAGTAAATGATGACAGATTTTTCATTTTGGGGTGGATATACTGCTTCAAGTAAAACAGTATCCCCTTTATGTATTTATTTATATATATATATATCAAAAACCATTTTCTATAATGAAATGTTTAATGCATTTTTGCAACAAAAATATTATAAAGAAATAATATATAAAAATTATATATTCAGAATTTAACAACTGAAATTATGTATGCAGTTTTTATTCTTTTTTAATAAAACTGTTTTCATTATTCAGAAAGTGTGACAAGAAACTGAAAAAATATTTAATTTTTTTCAATAAATACTTTAAATAACTCACTCCTAATATTATTGACTCGTTTATGATAAATTGCTTGTGTTTCTTCTTATTTGTAAGTGGCTTTAAATTAATTTCAAACTAGGCTGCGACAAAAACGATAACCACTGGTTTAATCCAAATATACCATCTGTAGTCATGTGCTTTAAAGCATGGTTTATTACAGTGCTTGCTATGCGAGAAATTCTGTATTGAAATTCTTATTACTTTCTTCTTCTTATGCCTATTTTTCTGCACAGCTGGAGTAAAATCCAGTATATTTGGCAAAGTGCTACATCTCTCTCTCTTTATCAAATAATGTGCTATCTCCACAATACTTGTATGATTAAAGTTTTCGGTATTTAAACAACAGCTATAGCATCATCATAATATTTTAATACTGAATTGTGATTAGTTCTTTTACTTTCTAATTTATTTGCATAAAAAATTACTTTTTTCTTTCCTTTTTAGTTATTTGTCAATAGCTGCTTTACACTATTAAGCTGTGCATGCTGTGCGCCAACGGGAAAGCGTAGCAGTCATACTTCCATCATAAGTTCATCAATTTACACCTAGTTTAGAGTGAATCTCTACTCACTGTAGGAAATGTCATGTTGATAAGATTAAAGCGACTCTGAAGGCGTCCTGATATCTGAGTCCTCCCTCCACCAGGGGGCCCCATAGCAGCCAGCAGAAAAATGTCCTTTTAGATCATGGCAAAAAAGAGAGAAGACATGTATTTATATGCACATCTAAAATATATACTCATATAAAAACTAATAAAATGCACCCACACAGTCTTACCTTGATACACTTGAGGATCTGTTTCTGGCGGTCGTACCAGAAGCCATAGTCGATCCAGAGACGGAGCAGCTCCAGAGGAGGCTGGGAGCCAAAGTCGTCCATGGCGGGCATGTTGAGATCATCCAGGAAAACAACCATCCTTTTCCCTCCCACTGGAACATACACACCTTTAATTCTCTTCTCCACTCGAGACTCGATGATCTCCTGCACGTTATTAGAGCTAGTCTGAAAGAAAGACAGAAAAATAATGTTATTAAGACAAGAACGTTAGCAAGTAAACCCAAAGATGATAAAATATTCAGTGAGCGTGACTGCAGATTTGGAGATTAGTGGAAAACTCTTTATTATAATAACAAATGATGATGATGATGATAGTTGGAGATTGATGATGATGATGGTAGAGCTCTCACCATGTGTTCTAATATTTGCTCGTCAGGTTGGGCCATCTGAGCAATGACTCAGCTCATTACAGATGTGAGAGTGGACTACTAAGATATCACTGCACACACTGATTAACCACATACACACTCACAGAGAAAGAGAGCGGTCTGAGCATCCTGGAGGTGACTGATATAAAAGTTCTGTGTCTGAGTGTACACTACTGTTCAGTTTGGTGTCGGTAAGATTTTGTTTTGTTTTGTTTTGTTTTTGAAAGAAATAAATACGTTATTCAGCAAGGATGCATTAAATTAATCAAAAGTGACAGTAAATGCACGTATAAAAGATTTGTATATAAAACAAATGCTGTTCATTTGAACTTTCTATCAATCAAAGAATCCTTAAAAAATGTATCACAGTTTCCACAGAAACTGTTTTCAATATTGATAATAATAAGAAATGTTTCTTGAACACCAAATCAGCATATTAGAATGATTTCTGAAGAATCATGTGACACTGAAGACTGGAGTATTCAGCTTTGCCATCACAGGAATTAATTACAGTTTACAATATGTTAAAATAGAAAACAATTTTAAATTATAATACTATTTCATAATATTACTGTTTCTACTATATTTTTTTGTCAAATGAATGCACCCCCGATGAGCATACATAAACTTAAAAAATAAATAAATACAAAATCTTACCAACCTCAAACTTTTGAAAGTAATAATACACTTAATTTTTGTTCTCTAGAGATATTTTTTATTCTAAGCACCAGAACTCATAACTATTTTAATATGTCAGTCTTTTATGCTACGAAATATTCTTAACAAAACTAAAATGACCAATTATTCATTCATTATTACTCATTCTTTTATTCAACCCAAATTACAGCTCACTTATTACAGGAGCAGTCCCCCTGGAGACACCTGGTGATGGTTCATGAATAGCCCTTTTCAACATTTCTTCTTCCAGTCATATCTTTCAGTGCACTTAAGTTTTCTTTGCTTATATTTCACTTGCCAACACAACACAGTGCTTTTATTTGTTGTTAAAATAAACAAATAAATAAATTAGTGCTGTCAAACGATTAATCGCATCCAAAATAAAAGTTTTTGTTTACATAATATATGTGTGTGAACTGTGTATATTTATTAAGTATATATAAATACAAACACATGCATGTACATATATAAAAAAAATATGTTATGTTTATATTTTAAATATATTTAAATATAATATAAAATAAGAATATGAATATATAAATGTATAAACGTAAATATTTTCAAAATATATACTGTATGTGTGTATTAATATATACATATTAAATATACACAGTACACATACATATATAAAGTAAACAAAAACTTTTACTTTAATCGCGATTAATCGTTTGACAGCACTAAAATAAATGCATAATAAACCTAACAAAAAAGAGAAATGTTATGGTTAAAAATATTTCAAGGTATATTATTATTCCTGCACACTTGCTTAAGTGCTACCTTACCAAACTTTTTCTTCTCAAACATCTTTTCCTGAAGCTGTTTAGATATTTTACTGCAAATTATTTTTTTATTTTTTTTGAGATCATCCTTGGGATTTATTAAGTGCTTCTGCTGAGATCAAAATTCACCTTTTACTAATACTAAAAGTGTTTCTCATCACCTGTGAGGACATGTTGATGGTGAGCATGGCCCACGTGACTGAGTCCAGGCTCTGCAGGACATTCTGGGCCACTGAAGTCTTCCCTGTCCCCACTGGACCCGTCAGGAGCACAGGGTGCTGAGTGGACACCAGAGCCTTGACCAGGTAATGATAGCGCACAGTGTCCACTGTGGGGACCATGATCTTATAGAACGGAGCGCTGCAGAGAGACAGGTGATAATTAAAAAGACACCAGAAAGAAAGTTGAAAAGTGGGACGGCTAAGTATGAGACATGCTTTAAAAAGAGGACAAAAATGAAGAGTAAAAGTAGAATACAGAGCGAGAGAGAGAGAAATAAAGAGCAAAAATGGGTGGGAGGAAATAGAGTTGAGAGAGCAGAATGAATGAGAATACCGAGGAGGAAGAGGAGGTGAAAAGTCTTGATTGAAAGACTGAAAATTGAAAGATGTAGCGAGACATTTCAAATGAACAGAGGGATAAAAAAAAGAGTCAGGTAAGAAAAAAAAAAAGGAACCCCAGGATGGAAAAATGGACAGCCGACAAAGAGGGAGCAAAGAGAGCCAAGAGGACAGAGGACAATGAAGGGGAAAGAGTTGGACTGACATGACAAATGAGAGCAGGGGAGAGAAGAGAGAGACGAAGAAGGATGAAAAAGATGAGAAATATGAATAGACGGGGAGTTCAGAAGTCTGGGAGGGAGCCAGGCGAGAGGCCTTTGACTGAGCCCGCAGGCGGCTGGCAGAGACCCCTGAATAGGGGGAGGATGGGGCACACACACACATACACACACACATCTCACTTGGAGGCGTAGCGCCAGCCTTTGGGCAGCTTGTCCTCAAATGACGCCCACGTTTTGTTCTTGGTGTCCACGTAGTATTCGTAGATGGTGTCCTGAGGTTTAATACAAGGTGATTATTTCTCCAGTAATATATTTGTTTCTGTAGGCAAAAAGGCTTAAACATTTATTCTAGATCCAGAGAATCAGTACTTTTCATGTAACATTAGCATGTGTGAGTATGTGCGTGCATACATTTAAATTAATTACACAAACATGTTATCTATTTCACACTGTATGTAGACTACTGTGGCCCCAAAAAGTATTTGGATACTTAAAAACGTGTAAACTGGATTACAAAAAATGAAATCACTTCACATGTATTTAAGTCATTATTTTGTAATTCTATTTGGTGAGATTAATGGCACAGAAATTACACGCTTCATCTTTAAGTGTTCATACACATTTTGGCCCACTGTATACCTTGTTAGGGAAAGTCCCCTCTACTTCCCGCAGGAAGTTGTCAATCTTCTTGCGTCCATCCTCATCTACGGAGGCGCACACAGACCATATGAGACTGAAGATGAACCAGAGCTCCACCATACGGCCAAAGTTTTCAGAGTCCGCTGGGTTCACCTGACCAGCCAGAGAGAGTTATAGTATTACGCTTGTGTAAACTAGCTACAGTAGAGCTAGATATTACGTTTAATTAAGTTTAATTAAGCCAGACACTGACACAAGACTTGAGAGTTGCAAGATCAGAAAACAAAACAGTCAGTAAAAATACACCCCAGATATGAATAAAAGCATGCTTTTAAAGGACTAGTTTACCCATAAAGAAAAATCTCCCTCATGTCATTCTAAATGTTTTGAGCAATACACTGATGCTCCATGAATGATGGTCAGTTATACGGTCCATCTACAGTACAGCTGCAATATTAGCTGTACACATCAATGAAGTGAAAGTGTTCTGACCCCGTTCTCTGGAGTGGCCAGTGAGTCGTAGAGCCTACAGAGCGATGCCACTCCGTTCAGTTCAGTGATGGGCACCAGCTCCTTACAGTGAGTCTTCTTAAAGGTGAGGGTCTTGTCTATGTAGCGGTCAAACAGCTGCCTGAGATGATCCATTTCAACCTGAAAGCAAAAGAGAGAGATGAAGCACTTTGCCAAATGTATAACACGATGCTTCACATTGTGTCCCAAACCTTCTGCCGTTTTTCCATCCAGGACTGAACATAAGGCTTCCAGGTCAAATCAGAGTAGTCGTTGTAAACCATTCCACAGCGAGACACGGTAGCAGGAGACGCCACAGCTAGATCCTCCACTTCAAACAATAATGAGACCTGCAACACACTCTCTCATTAATGGTTAAACCCAACCAAATAAGCACAGAACTGTCACTTAGCTGAAAATTAAATCTCACGAAACCTGTCAAGAACATTTCACACTATTTCACACTAAAACAAAATAAATAATTATTAAGAAAAAATATTTTCATATTTGCATATATGAAAAGAGATCTATTTTAGGGCCATTATGATTTTATGTATTGCGAAATTTTTTCTATGACATTAAAGCTGATTTTCCCACCTAAATTCTAATATAAAAAAATTAATAATCATCATCATCATCATATTTTATCAAAATATAATTGTATATAAATTAATTATTAAATAAACAAGTAAAATTTAACAACATAATTGCATTACAGAGATTTTTATTTTTTTATTACAGCAACATTTTTTTAGTATTATAGTAATGCATAATTGTAATGAGATTTTAGGGAGAAAATATGCTTGTCATAAAAATAATGTCACTATGCAAAACATTTTAATAGTTTAAAAAAAAAAAAAAGCTTCCTTTTCTTGATGCAAAATACACTACCTTTCAAAAGTATGGGCTTGTTAAGATTTATTTATTTATTTTAGTATTTGAAAGCTTTTCTCACCAAAGCTGCATTTATTTAATTAAAAATACAGTAAAAGCAGCAATACTGTAAAATGTTATTACAATAAAATAATAGATTAAATCTTTATCAATATTTTTTATCAATACTTCATCAATTTAAAGTGTCCTTGCTGAATAAAATTATTAATTTATTTAAAAATAAAAATTCTTACTGAACCCAAACCTTTGAATAATGGCTTTTTTATATGCCTAAGGCATTTCTTCAGGAAATTCACCCAATAACTGAAGAAAAAGGTCATAATTGAAGGAAATAGGGTTGGGCGATGTCTACAAAATTGGCATCGGACGATATCTACAGTGAAACATCGCGATGGACGATGACATTGGCGGGGTGGGGCGGGGCGAGCGGGGTGGTTCCTAACACCGTTTCTACACCGGACGGGAGCGGCGCGGCAAAATACTATAGAACCACTGATCAATAATAGAGATTTATTATATATAGATCAGTCTATAGAACTCATTATAATCAGTGATGTTGTCTACACTGGATGCGGCGAGGCGCGACATGACAAATCCCCGACAGTAAACTGCTGCCGCGTGCTATTTATGACGTGCTGACACAAATTTCAAATGATTTTCAACGGTTGGCAAGTACTGCCGCTCCATAGTATAAACAGAGTAGGTGCGATCGCGAATCTTGAAAGTGAAAGTGAAACTAAAAGCGTTCGTGCATTCAAAAGCACGATGCCAGTTTTCAATGCCAGGTATAATAGCGGCTCCCTGATGCCGAAATATGTAGTATAATTACCCAATTATATAACTGTGAGGAAAAATCTTGCAGATCATTAGTTTAAAAGG